AGTTATCTACCGTTTTCTGGCTTTCCAAGTCACGTCGTGAGGGAGGGCTCTGGGCCATATTCGAATTTCAATGCAAACCCGCATCTCTCCCTCTCTCTCTCTCTCTCGCTCTGCACCGGCTCTGGCACTATTGTGCTGTGAGGATTGAATTTATCTAAGCCAGACGAAATATAGCCAGCAGAATCAAACGAAGCTACCCCTAGGCTTATACCACGAGCTATTCCCATGACCAAGAGCGGCTAGAGATGAAGGCTACATTTAAGCTAAGTTGTCAGGTTACTATCAGGCTTCCGGCTAATCTTCTGGGACTAGTTCATGATATTCGTGCAGTTGAGTCTCAAGGTCTACATTATGGGTAGAGGTATTGAAGGTCAGATCAGTGTCGCCAGGCCAAGGCCAGGCTTAGTGTTAGGGATGACACTGTCTAGAATTACAAATCACTTCAATGTCACTGTGATTCCTAAGGTTCCTGGTGTGTTAGAGTTGCCATTGGAGTGAATATGGGGGCCTATGTTGAGCTTGGGGAACAAAAGTCGATGAGTGAGTGGAGACTAATGCTATGATGGCTAACCTGGGCATTAGTAAAGGGTCATGTTACGTCTAGTAGCAGTACTTCAGGCTTGAAAAGCTTTGTTGAGGCCAATATTAGGGTCGCCACTTCGGGCACTATCGGGTTTGCTATTGAAGGTAGCATGCAGTTTAATACGAAGGTGAACCTCTTGTCTTGAATTGAAAAGATGTTAGGGTTGCTGTTCAACTTCATTTTTTCAAGGCCTCAATACAGTAAGGCTTCAGTATCCATGCTATGCAGGGGAGTATTGGTATTTTCCACGCGCTGACAGTAGCGTCAAGCTGCTAGGATGACATTAAATCAGACTAGTTTTCAGCTTCATTTCGACTCTCGAAGGGCATGCTATCATGCTGGCACTCATAGCAGGGTGAATCTGCAAAGGCGTGTCATTCTTAGGTTTATTGTTACGACCGCCAGCTATTACTACTAGGAATTATGTTGGGGCTACCGGTGCTGTTTATCTTCAGCCAGTTCCAACAGACTTCAGAATCAACAGACGGAACACAAGGCTGCATGCGATCGTGGGTTTGATTTGCATGCAACTCTGGAAGGGCAGGCTGCCATACTCGCGCTCATGGTCGGGTGAACATGAAAAGCCGTGTCATCACTGAGTCTATTCTTGCGACCACAACTACTGCTAGGAATAATATTGAGGGCTGTTAGTACTGTTCATCTGCTGCCTTGTTCCAGTAGACTGAAACACACGGAGCATTGCTCATCGTGAATTTGATTTACATGCATCACCATTCCAATCTCAGTGTTACCCTATTATAGGCATGTTCCTGCCAATCTTCCTTCAAGTCGCCATTCCAGGCCTGGTACTTAGCACGATTGTCCTGCCTAGTGGAATGAAATATGTATGAGTAGGAGGCCTGAGTCAATTATGCAGCACTACGGTGAAGCATTGTTCACTCAATCCAGAATTCTTAAGTTCAATCCGGAATATTGAACTTCAAAACTCACGGATCCGAGATTCGAGATTCGAGGAAGATGTTTCTTTGATCCGGGAGTTTTGAAGTCCAATCTTCGGGATTGACGTTCAAAACTCGAGAGGCTTTAATATTGAGACCTTCGGACTGAAAGAGTCGTCGAAGTGGTAGCGGTGGTGGGTAGTAGTAGTAGTAGTAGTAGTAGTAGTAGTAGCAGGAGCAGGAGCAGTGGCGGTGGCAGTGGCAGTGGCAGTGGCAGTGGCAGTGGCGGCAGTGGCAGTGGCAGTGGTCGTCGTAATAGTATAGGTAACAGAAGGAGTAGTAGACGTACGTAGTAGTAGCAGTCGACGTCGTTGTCGTCGCAGTAGTAGCAGTTCAGTAGTAGTAGTAGTAGTAGTAGTAGTAGTAGTCGTCGTGGTGGTAGTGGTGGCGGTGGTGGTGGTGGTAGTAGTAGTAGTAGTAGTAGTGGTAGTAGTAGTAGTAGTAGTAGTAGCAGTAGTTGTAGTAGTAGCAGCAGCAGTAGAAAGTATTTGCCTCGGTGCCAAGCTATCGCTGTTTACAACAATTACGACTGTCCCTCTGATTCACATAATTGTAGTCTCGCCCTGCCTCTTGAGTTTGTTCTTCGTCTTAGTCTGGCTAGTCTTCTTCTGCTGCTGCGGTTGAGTTCTCCGTTTCTGCTCTTTCTGTTCTCTGTGGGCCTTCACAAGATTTGTACACCTAAACGGCTGAAGAAGGCTGTGACAACGAGCGGCGTCTCGGCCATCGTTGTTCCAGCAAAGAGCAACCCCTCCCAAAGTCTAAAGCAGACAAATGGTCAAAATGGTGGACTCGAACGACGACTGTGAGTTCCTCGAATCATGAATCGAGCCAGCCTAGGAAATGCATGCTGCATAACCGCACGCATCGTCAAAGTTAAGCCACCCTTAAGAGGAAATACAGACTCTGGAGAAGACACAACATTCTCCGGTCACTCTCTCAAACATCAGTCATCACGATGCAAAGGTATCCGCCTGGCTCAAAAGCGATGGTGCCCTTGCGACCCACATACTTGACACCGGAGACTGCAGAGATGTCGAAAGTCTCATAGTCGACCTGACTATGTGTCATGTGCATGGCACACACATGTACCCACCTAGGAGGAACTTTGAAGCAAGAAGCATGGCATTGGTTGTCATCCTCACCAAGTCTGGAGACCTGGTCAGGGGCAGCTACTGCTTCAACCCGTCCCTTTGATCACCTGCGAACGAAGCAGGCCATTCTACCAAGATCTAGCGGCCACTATCTCAAGACTTCAAGCTAGTTCACGTCCAGACAGATCTGATCACCTCCTGAGGAACGCCAGGAAAATGTAAATGGTTTCTCGCGCATCCCGCACCATTGATCACAAGCACCAGAAAACACAGGACAGCAATCCAGAATAAGATCAGGGCCGACACAATGAAGAAGAACCAATGCATTGTGCACGAGTGGCGCCTCGACCTCAACTTTCCCTTCTGCTTCATTGCAATAGTACACAGCACTGGAGAACTGGATGATGTCCTTAGACGAAGGCAATCGACAAGCCAACGCAAGCTTTCGCTTTCAAACGCCCTGCACGCACGAATAACAATCAACATTGCTGCTGCTTCTAAGACACGGGAAACTCCGACGGCAGGAGGGTTGAGATTGAGGTCCTGAGAAAGCCGGCAGAACGACATACCAACAAATGAAGCCAATGCTGCAAATATTCAGTAGTCAGAGATTGAATTACAGAAAAACACTCACCGCAAGGAACACCACCACGACCGCCAAACAACAATAAGCAACCGTTACATGCATCGCAGCATACAGATCAAAGCCACGACATCACAAGTATAACAACAGTTCATCATTGAAGTCCTCGTGAAAACACAGGCAGAGCAAATCGCAACCAAACCCGAAAGCCACTCAAACACCGATCACGTCAACCGGGACATTCGCACAACAAAATCGAGGGGGATGTTGGTAACGTGCGTTTCCGAGCAGTCGTCGTCTTTCACAGTCGCAGTCTCAGTCCCCTTCGCCGTCGTGAAAGCCGCAACAGCAGACGCAGCCGCAGCGGCAGTGGCCATCCCCGGCGCAGTCACTTCGTTCGTCTTCGCCCAGCGGTACTCCGCCACGTGCAGTAGTAGTAGTAGTAGTAGTAGTAGTAGTAGTAGTAGTAGTAGTAATAGTAGTAATAGTAGTAGTAGTAGTAGTAGTAGTAGTAGCAGCAGTAGCAGCAGGAGTAGTAGAAGTAGTAGTAG